ATAATGTATAGAAAAATTTCGGTAAACGTTTATATGAGATGGCATCGGTCGGAAATCAGAGAGTGTGTAGGTATGAGAACAACAACGGGTCAGTTCTGCGTGCAATCGGTGGTTAGAGTCTGCGAGAACCCTCAGAGAAAATTTAACACAGGAATTTATATGATACTAAAAGTCTCGAGCTAACTCACTCACAGAAATAGAAGAAACGCGGATAAGAATAGTTAGACCGCTCCATAAGACTTTGAAATCTTGTTTTAGTGAGCATGGGACAATAAGCGGGGAAAATTAATTAAAATTTGAAAAACACTAATATACAAAAGTAGAAATAGCTGACTGGGATGTACAGGAATGTCTGAGCTTTCGAATTTTGAAATATTGGTAGCCGCAGTTTACCAATACAGTTGTGGACTTGAATCGATCAACAAAGATTTCTGTCGATTGTTCAATAGTTTTACACCTATGAAAATCAAAGCACGTCGTTAATGTGAGCAGGTCATTGAGGTTTCGCCACGTGGTCCGGTAAACTAAATGAGTTAGAAGTTGTATCTTGGCCACAGCGGAAGCTATGAAAATCCGCTTACACTTCGATCCACTTCGTTCCCCTGATAAACAATTTCTAAGCACATTTGGTATTCCATGGTCATCACCACATTCGATACAGTCACTCCCAGTCCTCCCTCGTTAACCGGGTGCGAGCAACAACCAAACACGGTGATCAAATGCGTTTTTTCATAGTTTATAATTAATCTCCCTTCAGACAAAACAACTACCAGTGGATAAATCACTGAAAAATAGCTTGTTCATTGCCATCTCTTTTTACACACATAATGATGGTTAGTTACCAAACCTGACATTAATTTTGGGTCGCACTCGTAGTTTAACTTGATCAAAACTGCAAACTCAATTAGCCATCATTGAAGATAATTATCTATCATTGTTGGAGTGATATTTATGCTTCTTTCTCCTGCCGCACAAATGTATGAAAATTTCCAGGATCTGTGCAATCTGGGATGAGTGAAAATAGTTGTTCGATTTACAGTTTCAAATTAAAAGAATACTGAGTAGAGCTTATGGGCGTGGAAGTCACTAATTCAGACCAAGATGTACGGAACATTCACGATCATCCTTCGCTATTAAATCAATCTAAGTTACTCACAGATAGACCTGATCTAATTTCTTATAGCCAAAGCTGATTCAATCCTCGGTGGGAAGAAGTAATGCTTGCCGTTTAAGTTGTTCGATACAAATGCAATCTGGTTGATTGCTTCCTTGTAAAGATGAACTGTGTCGAACTGTCTACGGATAAATTCAAACGGTGTTTTGTTCAGCCCCTCAGGGGGGCAAACAAACCGCGTGCTCATGTTCTGCCTGTGATCAGAATTCCAGGTTCGATCCTTGGTGAAGTGGACCGATTCGTATATAGCCTCTGATTGAGCCTGGCAGGGTTGACACAGCTGCACAGTAATTCACAACTTTTTAGTTCATGTTTTCAGTTGCCTGTTATATAACAACTTTCATTATAAAAAATAAATAAATAAATGAACCAGTTGGCCAAATTTCGCCTCAGCCCCGATTTCAGTCATCTGAGATGCGTACAAAATTGGCACAATAGTTTAAAAATCCGTTTCATGTACCGCTTGGATTGCATATTATGGTTTGAAACATTATCTGTTGGTTTGAAACGTCACTGGATGCTGCTGATCATTAGACAACAGCAGAGAAAGGACACCCATTCCGCTCAACGTTGGAAGTTCGTTTTCATGGTGGTATAACTGAAGCTATCTGGTTTTAGAAGGTGGTCAATTTTTACTAAGAAACAGTACACCACTTCAGCTTGACAACGCGAAATCCAGAAAGATCATTTTCAAAACGTAATATTTCCTCACAAAAATGGTTTATTTTCATTTGAAAAAGACCGTTGCTCCCTCATTCGAACAAGGACTAGTTTTGTTATTCATATGCATCCGAATTATCATTCCCTCTTGTTCTAATTTGCTGGTACAAAATCGGAAAGCAATGAATTTGAAACTTGGATCTCATTATCAAGGACTGATATAAGACTATTCGCGTACACTGAAAAATGGAAAATCAGGTATCTATACAATCTGGTAAAGAGAATCTTGCATGACGCGAGTGATCACGTGACCAGACCCATGTTTATCCTTGGGAATGTAGCTACTTCTTAAATGGATGGCCACCGTGGTCGAAGCAGTATAACACAGCTTCTGCTGTCCATTGTAATGCAGTATATTCATTGAGGAAATACTGACAGGTTACATGTTTTTCTAAATCATGTTTATTTTGTGAGGCGTGGAAATTTTCCAGAAGTAGCTGACCATGATGATCTGGACAGCTTTTCTTATTCATTCACTTTACATTATAGAATGTAGATAAGAGCCGATGGCAACTTGTTGCCTTCCACCTGAAAAACCAGGTGTCCAAGCGCAGGAAAAAGCGTAGCGAATTCTCTGCTAGAGTATAATTTAAATAAACAAGAAATATTAGACTGTGTTATGGTTTACTGGAGGGCAATGGGTGATAGTCGAGGCGAATCAATCAAGAAACTATATTGCACATGTGATCATCTTTCCTAGTTTATTTTGCGGTTTCACATGTAACTGTAACTGTAGATGAGTTGGCCGAAAGTTGTGATATCTGAAAATTTGGATTTCGGAAAATCTCCAAATGATTACTGGTGAAAGAAGCTGTAAGACTGCTCGGTTTCATCACAAAACATGCGAAGCAGATCGGTCACAAATCGAATCCAAGCGGCATTTTGTGAACCCTATGTGACTGTTTCGGTCCACAAATCCAGCACGACATACTTGGAGGCAGATGGTGGACACGGTAGCTCTTACTGTGAGGGCTTCCCCTCGTTCCAGTTCCCTTATTCGTCGCATTCTCTGAGGTCATTCATTCATCTAGTTGCCTCACCTACTGAACACAACAACAATTTTACAAATCCACAACTATTTAATAGTGAAGTGGCCAACGGTAAGAATGGGATTACGTTGAACAACATGCCAGTGTGAGATCGCTATTACGAGTGGCTTGTCACAAGGTGTTTATTACACCCAAGCAAACTCTTGAAACATAACACTTTGTCTGGATACGGAATCGGTTCACAGATCGAATGAAGTTCTCCAAGTGTACGACACAGGTTTCTGGCCAGTTCGATCAATTCCGTAATGATAGTTCTACCGTTCAGATCAGAAGAAACTTCAATCTTTAGTTCAGAAGCGAATCGATCCAGGCTTCCGTCTGCAACTACTTGAAACATTGTCTTTCGAACTAGCTTTTGTTATCAGTTTTGCGTTTATTTTAGAAATGGAATGTGTCTGGGAGAAAGGATGGTAGACATTTTCAGCCGCACAGCTTGTAGGATATGGAGGAACGGTTGTGGAAACCGTTGTCAGTAGCTTTTCGCTTTCAGATATGTCTGCGTGCATCAGATAATGAATACTGTTTACTCAGAATCATCTGTCCAAATACAATCCCGAAGTTTTCAATTGCTCTCGGATCTCACTAACAAGCCGCACGGGGCAAGAGGAACAATACCCTATGGGCTGATGAAACACGACCAATGAATAAGGCAACCTCGGGCACTCGTTAATGCAAACTCCTTTTACTGCCCCGCAAACTGTAGACATTTAGATCAGTCGAGGTCATAAGAGCAATAAAATTTAGTAAGCATGCCAGTAACACAGACACGATTAGATCAAGATTAGTCTTTGGGGGTGAATGGAGGAACTCATTGCTAATGATTTCATTCTTTGACAAATTCTTACGTGTTGTGACAGAACACAAATGGCCTACATTTAGTGCTCATCGAATGGTTTTCTAGAGCTCGAATACAATAAAGAATTAAGACCCAATCTGAACAACGGACTATTCAAATAATAAATGGCTGCTCTTATTCTGTCCGGAATGAACCATAATGTCGATGATCACATCTCCCAGGTACACCAAAGACATCATAAGATTCCCTAATAGGATACAAATCTCAAGGTCAGTGTACTACTGTAGAACCATAGAGGTCGGCTTTCGAAATGATGCGCCTAATCCACGGATAGCATTACGGAACCTGTGCGTTACCAATGTCGATAGTTGCACCCAGTNCCAATGGATACGGGGGAAAGCAAACCAAGTCATCAAAGCAGACTACGGTTTGTATGGTTTAGGCAAAAAGATTTGTGCTACAATTTTGCCGCGCGCACAGGCACGAAGCGCGTTCCCAGTAGCGGGAACCCTATCTCAGGCTGGTTCATCCGTGATTGGTTCGTCCCCGTTGTCCGATTAATGGAACAGCGGGCGGAATACGCGCTCCTCCCCACCTCCATCCCTGGCACACAGACACACATTGTCGAGCAACCAAGGAAAGATGGTAGTCCAGTTCGTCCCCTGGATTCACTGAATCGATTCTTTGGCCCCGGGAGACAACTAATGTAACAATTGCGACCATGTCCACATTAATGCCCTTGGTTAGTGAGATACACTTTCCAGTAATGCGGCCAGGTTGACTGGCCTACCCTCCACCTACCCGATTAAGAGCTTGACTACCAAGGTGTACCTCTCCCTTCCTGAAAATTCATCAGGGATGTCCATCGCCCAGTTTTACGTCGCTCATTGATTTCTGCGTGCAGATCCGCACCCAAGATCTGTTGTTGGACCTCAGGATCCACGGCCACATACACACACGCACATTGCTCGTAAACGGCCAAAGGCACGCTTTGTGCGTAAGCCGTAGGCAGACAGATAGACGGACAGACAGACAGACGCAAAGAGTGGGGGAAAAACAGGCACAAAGATTCGAAGACTGACTTCAAGTCTCGCTAAATTGCTTGAATAGTGGCACGGCTGGGCACCGGCATCGCGCACCGGCATTGCATCACTGTTGCATGCTATAGCCGATCGTCCGGCCCTTGTGTTTGTGCGTCCGATCTGTGAATCGCAAAGGAAACCATTATTCTCGGGGCCGAGTGATGGTTTCCCGCCTAATCATGGCCCGCCCGTCCCAGATTCTATTCCTCCTCATCCTCCTGCTATGCACAATCCTTCTTCCCTATTGTACAGTTAACGGTAAGTTTCACACTGATCGGTAAGCCTTTTCATTTGATCTTAACTAACAATTGTATTTTGTCTCTACGGTATTGGAAGTTCCGTGTACTTGTAGTAAGTAGACAAATAAGCACATCTTATCAAAGTCTCCATAGTGGTTTGATTTGATTCTCTAACTGTATGAGACAGATGAAAGTCAAGTGAAAATGTCGGACAGAAAGATATAACTAACACGTTTAGGTACGAGGCTAGAAATACGACATCCTACACCTGATCACTTTATGGATCGGGACATTTCTAGAGTTTAACTGATCGAGTTCAGCTTCGTCTGGGGAAGTCTGTCGTCATTTTACCGCGTTGACCAAACTGTCCCTATACCTATCATAATGAAATGTATCGGAATCTTGTGATTCTTGCTCTCGACAATAATATGTAATGATTGTGCACTGGTTATTCCGTGACACAAAAAGAAAGACCCAGTCTGTCTGGATAGCAGTCACATGTTTTGATTACCCAATCATTCTTGTTTTATTCCGTCTGTGTCAGAAGATGATGTGAGTGACAGAGGAAGCAAACAGGTGAATTGGAAAAAGCAGCTCAAAATGCGAAAAGTATTTCCACTCTTCCCCGGACCAAGTTGCGTACAAAGCCGCAGTGTATTTTCGTAGTGTTGAATGGGTCTGTTTCATTCTGTGTATGAGTGATGAATGAAAGTGCAGTCACTGATAAATTGATACCTTGTACTTGGTTTTGGCTTGATAATCAGATGTAATTTGAAGACTAGCGTAAACGGTTAAGTAGTTGAGCAATACCCAAATTATGTCAGTGTCCTAGGGTAGCAAATACGGAATCTGAAAAGTAAAATTCCCTCGACTCTCATTTAGATGAGTGACTGCCCTTATTGGTTATTTCACCCAATAAGTGTAAATGTTCGAATCAAATTTAAGTGCAGTTCCATTCAAAGGATGGTTCTACGTCTTATAACGCACAATTACCACACTATTCCAATGCACAGTAAACGTTTATTTGGTGCTGCTTTGGTTTGGCCAATCGATTTTACATGGTGGATAGGTATTAGTGAATAAAAATTTCACTTTGGACAACCTATTTTACTGTACCAGTGCGTAAACTAACTCAGACGAGTAGACCTTCAACGAATCGTGTCATCAATGTACGGTATGTTTGCTTTTGAGAGGGTGGAAGGATCTAGACGCATTTTGGTTAGCCTCAACCACAACCTAATCGGACGATCGATTAAGCACTTTCTTTTCGGTCGAGGTGTTCGTCACCCAATACCATTACGCAGCAAAAATTGAGCGAGAAAATCAATAATACTGGAGGTGTTACATGGATCGGTAAAGTGTTATGCAAAGTTACAACTCCTCCTTAAAATGGACCGGTAGTGGTGAGGTTGTGATATATAATGCTTAGTTCAATCGGCCACTGCCACGTACCCGAAGACATTGTTCCAGGTAGACCTAGTCTTTTTAAGATACCTATCTTTAGACATACCATTTCTCCAATTTTTTTGAGAACGATTTTTGATGAGGAGGGGATTTCTCGCGTGCTCCACCGGTTTACAAAAATCCTTTTCTTATTCAAAACTAGCGAACTGGTACTGAATGCATTTTGATCGTTTTGTCTCACAAAACGGTAACTCACGGTAGCACAGATTGATGTTCATCCGGTTACAAATCAATTGCTAATCTTTTTGTATTGTTGGTGGAAAAAATAGGTTAACTGGGATTCTGATTGTAGACAGTTGTTCTGCCCATTAAACACATTGTGGAGCTACGCTGTCCACCTCCGGTTTTCAGTGAAGATTTAGTGTTTGGAGTGGTATGCTTCAAGCTGTGCAAGTAAGATATAAACGGGAGGTAGCAAGACTTGAATTCTTTTTCTGAATATTTCGTTTAGTTTGTGACGTGTTCATCATGATTCACTGAATGGAACTATGACCTTGTGGAAATATCTAAGGTCAGGTGGTCCAATCAACTAATCAATCTGATAGTCTTCGAATTTCTCCGACCGCATTTACCATCCATCGGATTGTAATCGTTCTCCATTATTGAATGTTTCATTTGGGTAGAAATATTTTTTTATTGTATTTGGTTTCTACAGTTGATTAGTACTCTACTAATCTTAAATGAATGTGATATACAAACACGGCATTTGGTTAGAATGTTGTGTGAGATCGACTGAACAGTGTGCGGTTTGAATTTGCCCTCTGAGTACTCTACCGGGGCTTGCAAACAACCGTGATAGTCATAATGATAATAGATGTGAATAATCAATTCACCTAACACTCATACCCGTATGTGCCATAACCCAACCGTACGTAGTGTCTCATTTATCGGGCAAGTATAAGAGCGTCTTGTGGCCCGATTTCGTGCATCGATTTACCTGAATGACCCGAGTTTATGATTTCATGACAAACGGCGGTGAAATGATGATGATTAGCTATTTTCTCTTTCGTCGGAAAGGTAACAATGGGAAGTTATTAAGCAATATTGAGCGCTGTTCTGCCTGGTTAAAGATCACTAAACAGCCACATGATAAGGGATAGGACTAACGGCGTCTTATTTTGCAGCTTGATTTATTTTACTTCAAAACTCAGTGATTCGTTTTTTATGGTCCTGGTTATGTCATCATGGTTTATTTGGCAATTTTCGGGTTAGCCTTTCGTACCTGAATTGGCGACTTGTGGCAATTCCTCTTCCCATCGTTGCAAGTAGGAGTAGAGACGATCCAGCATGCCAGCATGCGTGGATAGATGATCACACACCCGGAGGGGGCTTATAGTTTATGCTATCGGGATACTACAGTACTGAACTCAGTGATACTCAGGTTGGACACAAAACGTGACCAGTCGAGAGAGAGAGTGTGTGTGTGAGAGAGAGAGAAAAGAACCTGAACTAGAAAGTGGACGTGAAGATGTGAAACGCGGTGCACATAACAATTGTAAACGTCGCTGTACACGCGAACGCGTGGCCCCTTCAAATGCGATCGTATGCTCTGATTGAAATCGGCCTGTACGACCACACAGTGCGCATGGTCCAGTCGGGTGCTATTTTTTTCGAATGTATTCGATCTTCAACTTACTAATATTCGTTTCTTTAAATTATGACATGGGCCTAAGAAATTTTCATTCAATGTGTGTGCACAGACAACGTCTGATCATCGATGCCAGCCAGGATGGGTTCTTCCATAGATGGTTTCTTTGTTGACTAGAAAAACTTTAAGCACTTCAGATAAGAATGATTTGACGAGGAGTTTAAATTATGCCTCTGCTTATCTCCAATTACAGCAGCATGTTAGACCAAATGTAAATCTGGTAAATTTTTGGTGTAGGAAACTATCAATTCCTCATCATATGCGACTTACTTTTCCTTGCAAACACTTACGAACCTTGGGTCCAGAAGAATAGAATTCACCACCTTATTTGAAAATGCCTATCCACTGACTTGGACGTTTACATCGAATAGTCAACAACTATATACAGACCACAATAAATGAATAACTGTTTCATTTTTATCTGTGTCTTCACTGCTCCTCCTCCGCCTCACTGATGAATTTTCAGGCGAACCACTCAAACGAGTACCAAGACAGATTGATGATGCATCAGAAGATTTGGCAATCGGTGGCTCCGATCCGGATCACGTTCAAATCACTCCAGCCCCGGCGCCAGCAGTAAGTGTGCTTCCTCTCTCCTACTCAGCCAGCCCATATTCGGTTCACCGAATTTCTGACCTTGAATTCTGTCGGTTACTTGATCTAGGTAACTCGGATCTGTCTGTGTGACGTTGTAATTCAATAATGTGTACTCGCAATTTGTGGAAAAAAATCCCTCTGAATTATCGTTTCTCCTTTCAGAGCGTAAAAGGCCCCGGTCCGTTCCTTCAACCGAACATTATTTCCGGTCCCCGCGGTCCATCTGGAGAACCAGGTCCCCCAGGTCCTCCTGGACCTCCCGGACCACCGGGTAAGGTGGGAGAACAAGGTCCACCAGGTCCAGCTGGAAGTGATGGCATTCGTGGTCCACCCGGTCCACCCGGAGATCCTGGCGTCGATGGAAAACCCGGACAAGATGGTGATCCAGGACTTCCCGGTCCTCAAGGTCCTCAAGGTCAAATAGGTCCTATCGGTATGATCGGTCCCGGCGGATTGCCTGGTCCAGTCGGACCACCCGGATTGAAAGGTAGCAAAGGAGCTCCCGGACCAGGTGGTGGTGTGGTACGTTTGAAGCTAACTGATCTATTGAGCGGCTGTCTTATTCTGTCATTATTTTTATATTCATACTCATTGAGATGTTCATTTGCATGGGGATGAACAGTACATCAAAAACAAGATAGCGTGGTCAGAATTGAAAGAAAGAATTTCATGACGCCTAACCCTTACATTGATTGCTGGCAAATGCCTACGTCTGCTTGTAAGCTGCAAATGGGTGATTACTTTTGAAACAAAATTTGAAGCAATTGTTTGAAGTGTGTACAGGATAGCCTTCAAACGGAACTTTAAGAGTTACAAACAATTTCACTGTGGTCTGAGTAGCCATTATTTATGGTGAGAGCACTGAAACCTTCACTGGGTTTGATTTCCCCTGAGCCTTTGCTTATTCAATCATTTATGTTTATTTTCGCTACCCGTTCGTTTTTTTATTCTGTTTCCTGCCCCTTCTCTTCTGTCTGCCCTTTCAAGGGTGAACGTGGTGAAGTTGGTTTGCCTGGACCGATGGGTCCGCCCGGTCCGAAAGGTCCACTCGGTCTGCCCGGTGCTCAAGGTCCTGTTGGAGCAGTCGGTTTCCAAGGCCCAGACGGTCCAGTTGGTCAAATGGGTCCAACCGGTTTGCAAGGTCCACCGGGAACAAGTGGCATGATTGGCCCGGTCGGTTTGAAAGGTGATGACGGTCCTCCCGGTATCCCAGGCTCTCCCGGTGATCCTGGTGACCCCGGCATAGATGGTGGACCTGGAAGCCCCGGCGAACGTGGAGCCCCGGTACATATGTTCTAATGTACCTTGTGAAATTAAATCATGTGTTCGGTTTATACGCGTATTAGTTGGTATGTCTCTAGAGTTAGCTGGAAATTAACAGTATTCCAAAGATTTCCGGCTACTATCGTAACTCACTAACTCAAATCTTGCGCAATTTGAGCAAGAATAATGAGAATGGAAGACTGCTACCCATTACATCTATTGTACATAGCCTAAATATACTTTCAGGTCTGGTTCGAACATCTTTAGTTGAAACAACTGAAGATGTTCAAAGCAGACCTGAGGCTTGAGGCTTGAGAACAGCACATCGTACTGCTCGGAAGAGATTTAATCGTAGAAAGAGAATTAGAGACCGCGAACAGGAAACGTTTTCAAACATGAGTAACGAATGCTAANGAATGCTAACAGTATGTCATCCAATTTTTGTGATCTCCGTAGAATCACTGCACGTGAAAACTGGTGGCTCCCTCTGCTTTATTGTCAAAAAAAGAAGTTAGTTGATTTTCGTAAGGATAATCTACTTGATTTGCATCTCGTCGAAACTATGCTCTTTAAACTCGGAAGATCGAATATCAGCATCCGTGGTGCATATTGTGGTTAGAAACTGAAATGCACATTCTGCATGGACCAGAATATCTGATCCAGAGCAAGTGCGCATTTCGACACAACATGACATAGAACAGCATCAAAGTTTCACTACTCTCATCGGAGTGTAAAATGAATGAAACAAAGTGTGGGGTTTCTTAACGAGAGGCTTCACCATCAAAACCTAAACAGGCGACCTGTGGATGATACAGCGCATGCTTTGATTTCATATTGAGTGACTAAATCATGTGAAAAATATGCTCTACGGGCTTCTGTCGACAACGCAATCGATGAACAGAAAGACGAGCACGGTTTCTGCAGTTGTATTCTAAAGCTCGCTTAGATTGAAACAATCTGTAGGATAGGTATTAGTATGCGATGTTGGATGTGAACCATAATTTTTAAGGAAGTCATTCATTTATATGCAATTTCTTATTCATTTAATATTGGTTCGCAATGAGCCCATATGCTGATCTAATCCAATATGGTTTTGTCAAATGCTTTTTCCCCACTATAGGGTATTCCCGGTAAAGATGGACAGATAGGACCGAAAGGTGAACGCGGAAGTCCCGGACCTATGGGTCCACGCGGTGCCACCGGAATTCGTGGTGTGCCCGGAGCACCCGGTGCTCAGGGATCATTAGGTGCCAAAGGTTCACAAGGTATCCCCGGCCCGCAGGGTCCGACCGGTCCACCAGGACCAATGGGACCTCCTGGTGATATCGGTGATGTGGGTCCTTATGGGCCAGTGGGTGATGAAGGCAAGCAAGGACCACGCGGTCCAATGGGTGAACGAGGTGCGCAGGGTGATACTGGCATGGTTGGTGCACCGGGTATGCCCGGCAACCCTGGTCTGGATGGATTACCAGGTAAACCAGGAGAACAAGGTAAAGATGGTGAACCGGGTCGACCGGGTCTTCGAGGACCAACCGGATTGCCTGGATTGGCTGGAAAAGATGGTGAGCCTGGACCACAAGGTTATCCGGGTCTTAAAGGTCAGGACGGTTCTCCCGGACTGCGCGGCGATATTGGACCGAAAGGACCCCCGGGTAAACCTGGAGATGATGGTGAAACTGGAGCTGCTGGGCCTCCTGGACCACCCGGACCTCCAGGCCCATCAGGAATTCCAGTGAGTTGTTCTATCGAGTTGGTTTTTGAAAATAATTATTCTTAGATGCATGTTGTCTGCTCTTAATCACAAATATGAAGGGAACTAAACGTCTGCTTGAACAGAATGCCCGTTCTTGAGCCCCGCTTTTTGATGCATAATCCACCTGTTTCCTTTGTTTAACACACGTCTACTTCAGACCAATTCAAAACCGTGGTAGGTATGAAGTAACGGTCAGGTATATCATCAACACAGCGTTATTTTTTATCTAATTCAGTTCAAAAATTTGTGATAAATTTCCCAGATTTCTTTCTTACACATGATAAGAAGTTTTAGATCCCCTTTCGGATTTTATACATGAGGCTAAATGCAAGGAACTCACGTACATGTAATTCACAATGATATTAAATTATTAACGGTTAAAGTGTATTTTATTGATTTCCGTATGATTGTTTCTCAATCGTTTGTTTCTATTATTCTAGGGACCTCGAGGAAATCGTGGACCCACTGGTGATGTCGGTGAAACTGGTTCACCTGGAGTGACCGGCAGCCGAGGCACAGCCGGAACTCGTGGACGTCGTGGTAAAATCGGACCCGCCGGTAAGGAAGGTGAAGCCGGTGCTCAAGGCGAACGTGGCCCCCCCGGTCCGGCTGGTCCCACAGGTCAACCAGGAGCGGTCGGTCCACAAGGCCCACCTGGTCAGAAAGGTCCAACCGGTCGTGACGGTAAAGTTGGCATGGACGGAAAACCCGGATCTCGGGGTCCGGCTGGTGCCCCTGGACCGATGGGTGATCGCGGTGTTTCTGGGCCGGAAGG